TTAAAAAAAAAAAAAATGAGGATGGCTGCATAATGACAGGGGGGTTGGTTCATCAAGAGCGCATAATATTCCCTAGCATTTATGGGCCTAATGTCAGATCTTCACAATATACGAAGCGAAGCCCATAGAACTGCAGGGATAACTAGGAAATCACAGTGGGGTACTTCAATACCGACTCATATTCATCCAGAGGAATATTAGGCAGAAAATGCACCAAGACGCAGTAGATTTGAAGAGCGTGATCCACCACCCTGGTCTAAGCGATGCCATAGAACATTCCACCCAGAAACAACAGAATGTACATTGTTTCCAAGGAGCACCCGCTGACGTAGACCGTATTCCGGGCTAAAGCCCGAGTTGATGATGAGAGTCACACAAATGTGCTTTGTGAACACAGTGAAATCAAACTAGGAATGCACCACAGAAGCCCAGCCTGGAGATGTGGGGACTGTGCCCGGCTGGGGAGTCAACGCATCTGCCATGATCACGCTGAGGGCTGAAGGCACCTCGTGGAGGTCTTGCCCGACGGCCTGCACGTGGACCCTTATTTGCTGACACACATCACACGGGAGGGGAGTCTGGACCAGCTTTCCGCACAGCCCACACGGAGAGGCTGTGTAGAGACTCTTCCTGTCAGGGAAAGCCACGCAAAGGGATAGAGGTGGCTGTATCAGCAGGCCTGGAGCCAGGGAAGGGTCCCTGTTCCTGAAGATGCTGAAACAGGTTGTACCCAGGCTTCCAGGAGATAGCAGCCATCTGGAGGCCAGCCTGGAGGTCACACCAGCTCAGAGGAGCTGAGACCCTCTGTCCCAGAGCAGGGCTAACAGCAGCCTGTGCTCGCCTGGATAGCCAAGCTTCCGCGTTTGTCCTCCCTGGGCTGTGGACCTCCCTCCCTGTCAGGCTGGCACCCCAGCTCTAGGAAAGCTTTCCTGCTGAGACCCTGACTCAGCTCCCCCAGGCTGGGTGGGTGGAGATGGTGTCTGCCAGCTGTCTAACCCAGTTTACCCAGGCTCAAGGGATGCCAGGGGCTGGGGCTGCCCGAGGGTCAGTCAGGCGAGCACTGGAGTCGGACAGACCTGCCTGCAGGTACCGGCTCCACTCGGCGTGGACTTGGGCAGCTGCTGCGGCCCCCTGTGCCTCCCATTGTGTACCTGCCTCAGTTCCCCCCTCTCCGCTTCACACTGGCTGAGGGCTCTGCCTGCCTCAGGGGCTGGGTGGAGTTTTGAGGACACTGTCACCTGCAGAGGCTGGTTTGGCCATCACACTCTTTGATCTGTCCTTGGGACCCTGGGAGGATGTGGCAGCGTCTGTGTCCAGAGGTGGGTGTGACCTGCAGGTGAGGACACACCCGGGAGACTCCGCACCAGTGCCCACAGTGCCCACCCCGCTGCCAGCACCCACAGTGCCCACCAGACTGCCAGCACCCACAGTTCCCACCCCATGCCCACAGTGACTGCCCCATGCCAGTGCCCACAGTGCCTATCCCGTGCCAGCAACTGCAGTGCCCGCCCCACACCAGTGCCTGCACTGCCCACCCGGATGCCTGTGTGGAGAGACTCCCAGCCATCATTTCCACGTCGGGAGGGTGTGGCGAGCCCTAGCCTCTGGCCTTACCTGGGTGTGGCTGTGGTCTGCTCTCTGTCCTCGAAAATCTGAGGCTCCTCCAGCTTGGACACCTTCTCTGGCCTGGCCTGGGTTGAGTGTCTCTCCATCAGCTGCTGTGGGAAGTTGGAGGCGGGGGTTTGCAGAGGATGCAGGAGTTGGCTCCACAACTGGGCATTGGGTCTGGACAGCCAGGCCACGCCCGGTCCCAAGGAGAAGCCTGAAGCTGGGCAAGCCTCCAAGAGATAGAGGTGGTCATATCAGCAGGCCTGGAACTGCCGATATGCTGATATCCCCTCAGGGGCCTCTCTGCCTATCTTCCAAGTGAGGCAGACAGCCCCCTCCTGCCTCCCAGAGGGGCTGCTGCAGGGAAGCTGGGGTGGCCAGTGCCCAGCCAGAGCTGGAGAGTGTGGGAGCCAGGGGCCAGCTGCACAGAATATGGGTGGAAAGGAAACCCCAGCTCTGGTCCCGGCTGGGGGTGCTTGGAAAGCAGGCACAGGAGGGGAGCAAAGCCCATGATGGGGGAGCAGGGAGGGAACAGACAGGGATGCTGGCCCGGGCATCTGCGCCGCAGTGGGTCTGAGGCTGCCCGAGTGTGTACTCACATGCACACACGTGTACGCACGCACACAAACATGTGCATGCACACGCGTGTACGTACACATGCACACACTGCATACACATGCACACGCATGTGCACACACTCGTGCACTCACATTTGTGCACACACCCTTGTGCACTCCCACACGTGCATTCACACACACTTGTGCACTCACACACACTCATGCATTCACATACATGTGCACTCACACACACACGTGCAGGCACAAACTTCTATCACACTCCTAGAGATGCCCTATGTGTACCATGAATGTCCCTCCCACCAACGGCCCCTGAATCAAACACAGGAGAAAGCTCCACCTCCCAAAAGGATCATCCCCTCGAGCCAGGCCACGGCTATCAGCAGCCCAGTCAATGCTCTGCCAGGGTCACCACTTGTAGGCCTGGATGACACTGTCCCCTCATGGCGCAGGTGCTGGGCCACCCCAGACAGTGGGAGCTGCCTGCTGGAGGGGACCCTATTGGTGCCAGACGGCCCAGCAGCAGCAGCTCGGGAGACACTAAGCCCCTTCCCTCTGGCAACAGACCTGTCAGGTCTGTAAGCGCCACACGCACTTTGGGTGGTGAGCTCCAGGCTCCCGTGGAGAGCCCAGGGCTAAGGCGCCTACCAGGCCTGGGACATGGACAGGTGGCAGTTCCCATGCATGTCTGACCCTCCCACCCAACTCCTGCAGAGACAGGTGCCCCCCCGGCGGCCAGCGCCGCTACCTCCAGCCGACTCCTGAAGAGCAGCCCGTCCAGGGCCTGCTGCATCTCCCAGGCCTCCAGCTCTGCCCGCTCCTGCAGTACGGCCAGCGCCTGCTTCTGCCGCTCCAGCTGCAGGGAGAGCCCACCGCTCACCACGGTTCCTGCCGCCCCCGGCCAGGGTGGGTGGACCCCTTCTGCGGAGGTCACCCGGAGGGACCCTATGTCTGGGCAGGGCCCCTCCCTCCAGCCCACCGACTTTCTCTCCCTGCCAGGGACTTCCCCCTCACCCTGGAAGGCCAGGTGCCCTGGATCTGCTTCTCCCGCCTCCAAGCTCCCCTCCCTCTCATCTGGCCCAGCCGTTTTTAAATTCTGTAGTTCTGTGTGTTAGAACCTCTTCTGCTTGGCCTCTGGGGGACAGAGGCTGCTCCCAGCTCACTGCCTAGCAGAAGAGCCCTAAAGGGGCAAACCTGGAGAGAATCCAGAAAGCTGGAGGTCTTTTGCTGGGTGCTGGGAAGGCGTCTCACGCACGCATCCTCCTGCTGACCTGTGGAACCACAGAGGGGGTAGCTGAGTGGCCCGGGACCCTCTCCAGGCCACCCCTCACTGCTGCCTCGCTGCTCCATGGCATGGCGGGTTGGCACAGCCTCTCCACCTGCAGGGAAACTGAGGCACAGAGGCCAGGAATGCAGGCGGGCTGACTCCTGAGCCCAGCTGGCATCCACGCCATCAAGAAGAGCCCCTGCCCCAAATGTGAAGGAAGGCTGGGAGGGCTGCAGCCCCACAGAAGGGCGCAGAGGGCTGGTGAATCTGCTTGTCCCCGCTAAGGCTGTGTCTGCCTAGCCCCAGCCACGACCAGCTCCAGGACAGATGGCAGGAGTCTGTGGGGAGGGTGGGGCCCAGGACATGGGCTTTGCCCCCAGACAGACCGGGTCCGTCATGCATTTGCCATGTGACCTTGAACAAATTGCTTGTCAGAGCCCAGTGGGGTCACAGAGGTCTCTCCTTCCCTTGTGTGAGGGTCGAGGAGATGGCTTGGTATAGGCTGGCTGCACACTCAGCGGGTAGAAACTGCTGCTGATGGTGTGCAGGGGCGGGTGGTGATGAGGGAGCGGTTGTGATGAGGGGGTGCTGGTGATGAGGAAGGAGTGGGTGGGTGCTGACGGGGTGGGTGGGTGAGTGCAGACATAAACACACGACCCAAGTCCAGGGCTCTCTGGAATTTCTGTGATTGATCCCAAGCATGGATATGAAAACCTCCGCCTCCTCCTTGGATAGTGAAGTCCCCAATGGCCGTGGAGGGGCTTCTCTTTCTCCTTGGTGGCCCTCAGGGTCCCAGCTCTGACTCTGCACATTGCTGGAGCTCCCGGCCCCATGGAGGCTGCCACCAGGAGGTGCTGCATGCAGCAGGGTCTGCGATGGTGGGGCTCTCACGGATGACCACTGGCGGATGAGCCCTTGGCCACTGTTGGCTTATGTATGGGCAGAGCCAAGACCAGGATCCCTGCTCGGACTGCCCCGAGAGTGCAGCTCCTCCAGCAGACCGCCCGCCTTCCTGGACGGAGCAGCTCAGCCGTGAACCACAGCTAGGCCAGATCCTGGGCGTTTCCACAGCAGCAGAGGACACCCCACAGCACCCAGACAGTGTGAGCAGCAGGGGTACTGGCCACCTGGAGTGCGCTGAGCATTTGGGCTCACCCTGGCCCCCTATCTAGCTGGTGATGGGAAGACACTCTTACACTTCCTGGTTTTGGTTCAAGCGTCTGTTCTAAGCTGAAATTCCTCCGCAAAGGGAAGAAAGCATCCCTTGCTTTTGTCTCACGGCCCTGAGACAGGCTGACACCAGAGAAGGGGCCCCAGCCCCCACCAAATGCCCCTCCGGTACCTGGGAGCCTCAGTCCTGAGGTCCCCACAGATCTCCCAGCTGTGGCCTGAGGAGGGGGAGTCCTGGTCATCGCCAGCGACGTCAGCACCCAACAGATCAGGGAACATGGAGGGACATGAGCTGCTTGTTCCTGAGCTCTGAGCCGTGACCCAGGAGAAAGTGAGCTGTCCCCGAGCTCAGCACCTCCCTGGCTGGACAGAGACTGCAGGAGTCACCCCACTGAGTGCCCCAACTCCCCTAGCAATGGGTGAGGAGCTCCAAGAGTCTAGCTCCACCTGCCACCCCAAAGTCCCTGGTAGCTGTGAGGATGCAATAGGTCAGTCTGACAGATCTCAGCACGTGGCAGCTGCCATCACAGCTGGAGAGGATGATGTAACTAGCTACGTTCTCAGTCACATGGCTTGGGTCTTGGGGAACAACAGCCTCAAACCAGAATTAAGCTGACAGGACCCCTGACCTCCATGGGGGCTGTGGAGTTTGAGAGCCATGGCTCTGCTGTCCAACACGGCGGCTGGCAGCCACACCTGCTGTTTACATTTAAACTTAAATTAACAGAAAATAAAACATAAAATGCCACTCTTCAGTCACACTGGCCACATTTTCATGGCTTGACAGCCACATGTGGCTGGTGGCTACCATATTGGACAACTCAGAATCCAGAACTTTTCCTTCATCGTAGAAGGTTCTATTGGACAATGTGGTGTACGTGTTTAAGTCTAGAAAGTTCCACCGGACAGAGTTAGTCTACATGTTTAAATCTAGAAGCTTCCATTGGACAGCTCTGGTCTAGGTCTTTATGTCTAGAATGTTCTCTTGGACAGTGCTGCCTGCAGTCACAAAAGCTAGACCCAACAGACAGTGGCCTGTCCCCCTGGGGCTACTGCACCTTCTGCCCACAGGATGATGAATGAGGTATAAGGGTAAAATCTGCCACGTCAGGCTGCCCCTTCCAAGAAGGCAGAGCCTGACTCTGACCTCAACCACTTGGGAGATCCTGGCCAAGAGGTGGCTGTCCTGTGGCCATTGGGAACTGTCTGTGACTCACAGCAGCCAGCCCCTGCCCATCCAGCCTTCAGGAAGGGCAGTCACCAAATGCAGCAGGGGGAGAACAGAGCCCCATCCCAGCCCATCCCTGGGCACCCCAGGCAGCTTGACACACCTCCCTGGGCTGCACTTTCTGGGGAGAGGAAAGGTGATGCTATGGTTTGAACGTTTGCCCCTCCTCACGTTGAAATGCACAGCAATTTGGCCACGAGGCGACTCAGCCACGAGGGCTCCACCCTTGTGAATGGATGAGTGCCATCACTGTGGGAGCAGGTTCGTTAGAAAAGGGAGAGTCCCACCCCCTTTCGCCCTCTTCCCCCTCTTGCCCTCCTGCCTTCCTCTCTGTGTTGATGCAGCAAGAAGGCCCTCACCAGATGCTGGTGCCTTGTTCTCAGACTTCCCAACCTCCCGAACTGTGAGCCAATACGTTTCTGTTCATTATAAGTCACTCAGTCTCTGGGATTCTGCTATAGCAGCATAAACAACCAAGGCCAGAGGCCCATGGGGCCTTCCTGGCTCCGAACCCCCCCAGCACATGCGCTTTCTGCCCCTTCCTGTTGAATTCTCCCTTTGCAGTGATGCCTCAGATCCCACACACTGTGTACCCTCACTTGCTCATCTTCTGACTGCCCACACTCCCTGAAACAGGTGCTGCAAGGGCCGGGCCCTGCCCCCTCAGTACCAGGCAGGCAGTGATGCTCAGAGGGTGTGTGTGGAAGGAAGGGGCAGGTGCACACCAGAGCTGCAGAGACTCCCACACCCTGGGGACTGGGAGAGTCTCCCCAGGGAGGGGCCAGGGTAAGGGAGACGCAGACCCTTCCTCCCTCAGAGGGCTCCGGGTGTGAGCCTGAGAGGCCCCCCCCCACACACACACACACAAGCATGCACACACGCACACACACGGGACCCTCTCTGCCAGTCCACAGAGAACAGCTTCCCTGAAGCTGCCAGGTCTGGCTCCATGGCCCTGGAAGACCCCGTGGGCCGCGCCCCCCACTCAGAAGCAGCCTCCAGGAAGGCTCCAGCCCCGGGCTTTGAACCCAGCTCCTGGGGGTCCACAGCCCAGGACTGAAGTCCCCTTTCCTCCCCCCAGCACTGGCGCTGCAGCAGGAATGCCTGGGGCGGGCTCCGCCCACTCCCCAAGCCTTCGCCCCCAGGATTCCCCGCTGCCAGCCGAGGAGGGTGGAGGTTTTACCTGGGGCTGCCCTGGGGTGGTGGTCCGGGGTAGGGGTGGGAAGGGGGCCCCCATTCACTCGGAATACACCCTCCCGCCACGTCTCCCCCAGCCAGACATGAGCGTGTTTTATTCTAATGCTCAAAACCTGTTCTTCTGAAGATAATCAACAAATAACGATGAAGCAGCAAACAGGGCCCCCGCC